CCGATGTCACTGGACAGAATTATTTAGTGTTACCTTTAAAAGGAAACGCACTGTATATTAACATTAATTATGTAATTAATCAGGCAGGATTTTAGCTTATATGTATATTGTAGTAATGTAACATTGTAACCCCCCCCCTCGACATTTTTTTCTAGTTGCACCACTGGTATAAATAGCGAAAAATGAAAAGTACATCAAATCTTTATCATTAAAATTTTTCTCAGATATTTATTGATTTTAATTATTGGATATAATACCTATTAGGTAATTTGTGATACTCGTATAAAGTGGAAACGGGTTAGGTTAACACGCGTGATTTGTTTTATAAATAATGCAAATATGTGCATGATTCATTGTGCTTCAATTCGCGCTGTACGATTATTATTTTATTTTTTCAACAGTACTTGGGTGCAGTTATAAGAATAAAATAAGGGTTATTTGAGGTTGTTTTAGAAATGTCGTTTTCAAATAACATAATGGTTTAACTACTACGCCTACGAGGAGTATTCCCATCTTTCCTGTGATCGAGAAAGAAAAAAAGAGTCAAGTAATATCTGCAATTTATTTTATTTAGGTATACCATAAGCCAGTCGTAAATAACTTTGTTTTAAGTGCAAGACTATAGGTACATACGGTATATAAGTGTTGTCTTGCGATCAGAGCCTAGTTTTTAGGGCCGTTAGCACATTCATATAAATGGCCTACACATAATTTTCATACACTTAAAAAAATTAATTTTATTTTCAATTATTTATTAGGTATCACAAATAAAATTAAAATAATTATAATTTACATTTGAATCTACATTTAAAATTTTGAATTCTTATATTAATTATTAATTATTATTATCATTATTATAATTTTGTTTATTTAATATTATTTTTAGGAAAAACCCGAGTCGCGATAGTATTAAACTAATAAACTTCTGAGTACTGATCACATCATAAAGATAAATTAATATGATGAAATATTTTTAGAACATTAGTTGGAATAACGAAATAATTGATACAAATTACAGTTACAAGTTTACAACAAATTTGATAATCATAATATTAAATTATTTATGATATAAAATCATAAATTCATAACTACTCATGAGAAAAAAATTCTTAAATTTATTTTTAATATATATATAATTTTGATTTTAAAAATTATAGGCCGAATTTTTTTTGGGCCGTAAGCAATTGCTTATTTTGCCTACCCTTTAATCCGGCCCTGCTTGCGATAGGTATTTTACTACGTGACAAGTTGTTTTGCATTAATTTAAGTGTAGCGCCGCGCATAATAATACACCGTTTCAAAGCTAATTATTTATTTATTAAATTATAATTTGCCATATTGTATTTTCGTTTAAACGGTACGGGTCAACTTTGTGATTGGTGACGGGGTTATTGTATATGTTTGAATTTCATTTTTTTAAACCGCGATTAGTACAATACCGATTAATGAACGATGGGTCAGTGAAACATCGACCACCACTCGGTCGTAAAACAAACCCTAACTCTGGAGTGACTATAATTCGAGGTAACTTTTCCGTGTTCGTAGGGTGTGTAGTTCGTGTGCGTGTACGTGGGTGGGTGCGTGTACTTTGATAGGCATGCACATTCGTGTACCTACGTCAGTGACACGTTACTACACATAATAGACCGTAACGTAACATATCGTCACTGACCCAAAATCATAATATTTGGCGCTACAAACATTTTAAAACGAACCAAGTAATACAGTAATATCAACGAATCAACGATTGATAGTTTTTGAAAATACGGCATATCGACGACGCGACGTTTGATCAGAGTATTATTATCAGAGTATATATCAGAGTAGTTATAACCCCCCCCCCCCTCGAAATTTTCTCTGATGTCTAGGTTAAAATTTACAAATTTTACAAGTTTGAAATATGTAGAAGCTAGTATTGAACTTAGTATCATTGATTATAGAATAATCTATTCTATTATCAATGCTATTATTTAAGTCAAAATATATTAAGGATTTGCATAATTTTGTTAATTGTAAAATGTGTTATATTTTTACCTTGACCCCCCCTCCCCCCGAAAAAAATATCCTGTGTGCGCCACTGTGGTAAACAATACACGTAGGGCCGCCTTCCGATTTTCGCGGACCTCACCGACGTTGCGGCCGTTAACCCGATTCGAACGGTCGATCGGGGTTTCATTCTCACGTTCATGCGATCGAATGGTGCTCGTGGTACCCCACATTGGTGTTTTTATTTTTTGCCCAGTTTGCGGGATCTACTACACGTATACACGCGTACCCATTTATTAATACAATGCGGGGACGACGACCGTTACAGTGAATCGATTTTGCGTTCGACGGTCGGTTGGTGGCGACGGCCAAACGTAAGCGTTCGTGCGTCCTCGTCCGCGTACGCGCGCGCGCGCACCCGGCGCCAAGTCGGCGTGCGGCGACCGCGAGCGGAAGCGTGTCAGTCGTAGTACCGGTGTGCACACGATCGCACCGCGCCCCGAACAGTGCTCGTCCGGGCTCGGTCGTTGTGCCGAGAGTGTATCGTCGCACGCGCACTCCTCCCTCACCAATCGCGTCTGTATGTGCGTTTCGCGTAGACGTCGACCGCGATTGTACCCCGGGACCGACTTGGATGCGATTGTTACGAGTAGAAGCCGCAGCGGTCCGGGTTCGTCGTCGTCGCCGCCTGGTCGCGTGTGTTAAATGACATCGAACGTCGTCGTAACGGCCAGTGGACGCGATGAAAACGTCACAGTCGACGGTAATGACACAAACGCAATGATGATAACGATGATTATCGCATAGGTCAGGGAGGGGCTACTCGAAGCGGCTAGAGGGCCAATTTATTGAAATTTAAAACCTGGCGGTTACGAAAGCAAAAAAAAATGTCATTGAAATTGACAATTAGTATTTATCTTGTATTTTTTTTAATTATTTTTTTTTTTTTATTAAGATAATATGCAATCTGTACAATTTATTAGGCACAATAAGCATATGCGTGTGATGTAAAGAGAAAAAAAAGACGTAAAAGAAGTGATTAAAGGAACCACCCATTAGTGACATTTTAGCTGTTGTGTATTAATTAAATATTAAAGTGTTTTTATGTAAAAGAGGAAAAGTTAATTAGAAATATAAAATTTATATTTCTTATTAACTCTTTCTTATTTTTATTATTTTTATTCTTATTTTTATAAAAATAAGAATAAGAAAAAAATCGTAAAATAATTAAAGAAGGTTACGCACCATGTCCTTTTCAATTTTACCTCGTATAAAATTTAATTTTGAAAGTGCAATAAATTGAGTGCCTAATACTTATTGCTATGTTAGCTATGGCTGATATGGATATTAATATATATATATATATAGGTATATGTATATAATGTATTTGGAAGTTTAAATTTAATAATTTAGCTGCAGTTCAACATTATATGGGAATATACACATTTTACGATCGACGTAATTTGAAAATGTAATGTAATTGTGCGGGTGCATACCTAATCTCGGTGGGTGATTCCGCGATGAATCGAAGTACACTGGTACTATGATGTACAAATCGTAGCAATTTGGATTTTAAGCGGTAAACTGTTTCAAAACCGCCGTCATAACTCTATGTTCTTAGCATTTATTTCAGTTATACTAAGATTTTATTCTTACGCAACACCAGATGAAGCAGACATCGGCGCCACTGTTCTCTGGTACAGGTAATGCGGTTTATAACGCGCGGGACTGGTACGAGTTTACGTTGTACTTGCATGACGTATACAGTAAACGTTGTCTTTCGACCGATCGTCTGGACCACGTAGTCACGTTGAGGTGCACCGTTCAGCGTGGTCGACCGGTTCAATCACACGTTACCGCACGGCTGACTGCGAAGTTGGTTTCGTTCAACCTTTGGTCGTGGTGCCGACCGCGATTACCACGATTTGCCTAGCATGTATAATCGTGCTGGTTATACTGATTTCAACAGCAATAATAAAAGTTACGTTACGTAACGATTGATGTAATATGCAAATATGAAACCCGGATTTGATAGATAACGAAAAGATGTATCGTCATTTTTAAAAGTGTACTGAATGGTAAAGTCCATGGCATGGTGTAGCGAGTGAACCCGCCTACTAGTGTTTGCCGATCTCGTCGTATCCCGCAACGTGTGATGTACCAAAGTGGCATACCTAAGGTAGTTTCGAAGAGGAGGGGAGAGGCAGTCCAATACCGCTTTTCAACGTAACCGGTAGTAACACGTTTGATTTGATAGTTCACTTGTTATTGTGTGAACGCACAATTTATTAAATAAAGAAACAAAATTCTCGTCCTCCCAACGCTACTCCATCCTACATTGCAAGTGTAGTCAATGTGTATTTGTCCAACTCAATAAAACGGTTTTAAAATATAGGTCTTCGAGTTATGATTATCTTTCAGTAATTTTTGTACATTTACGTTTATCGTATACAGATTTACAGTCAAACCGAAAACTTTTGATGGGTGTGGTGTCTATGTATTCCATTTAACATTAAAGTTTCTATCAGCCCCTCCGAGTGTCAGCCCATTCCTCTTGCCTTTTATTTATAATTATTGTCTGTATAACATTTCTTCGCCACGTGTTTCAGTGCAATTAAATACCGACTTTTAAAAGTCCCGTTTGAATAAAGCCAATATTTGACAAACGTAGTCATCGTGTAATAATCCAAAAATACAAATAATGAATATAATAAAATAATAATAATAATGGATTATGATGAGGGGGAGGAGAGATGGAATAGGATATAATGTATTGATTAACTTCCTCCTTGTTTAAGAGAGAGTTCTCGAGGTTACAAAGATTCAAGAGCCGATCAGTGAAACTGGACAGTTTGGCAAGCTTGATAAAATAGCAATTACTTGTTCCGTAGTACATATTCGGGTGCCAATGAGCTGGACACTTATAACTATTGTGGGAGGATAATGACGTTAAAATAAAGTGAAACAGACATAAAATTTGATTAACTGAAGCTGATTAACTGAACACTTTTCAAAACTCGCATAGAAAACTCAAATCAAAAAATTAATTTAAAAGTGAAATAGTCGCACGTAGTAATAATCACTGGACACAAGAGATTCCTTGATAAATGTAACGGTCGATGTGCACGCACTGACGACCTAAGATCAAGAGTCCCTACGCACACACTTGTGTCTTATGAGCAAGAGCGCTGAGAAGGGACTGTGTGTCCCTGTTATATAAGGACATATGGCAGTATGAACCTGGAACTTGTCCTTTGAGGGTTTGACTTATTTAATTTTTCATTGTTGAGTTATTGTTGGGTTATGCCTCTATTATTTGAATTGTGTTGTCTGCAGACAAATATAGATGATTGGTTTAAATGGTGTTTTACACATAGTGAGATTTGAACCTACTATCCCTAACCTTCTAATACCTACGCCTAATACCTATCGGGACACCCTAATCAGATACGAAAATGCATATAATATGGCCTACTTACATTCGTGTGATAAGTTATGCAATCAGTTAGTTAACAGTTCACCTACTTATATTTGTGTAGAATAAATTATATGGTTGAAAAGAGAACTTGTTAATTGAACTTTATTAACAACTTGAGATTTATTTTCAATGAATTCGTGGGATTGTCATTCTTGACATAATACTTAACTATATAATCGAGTAAATTAGTTCCAATAATAATTAATGAAGATGTAGATAACTAAACAATTTATTTTATTTTCAAATGAATTTGTTTTTCCAAATAAAAAATTGTTTAACAGTATTTTAATAAATATTGTACATGAACATGATTTAATTTACCTACCTATTTTAGATATATATTTATGCATGTAGTATAATATATTGTACTTACATAGTCATATAAAGGAAATTAATATTACCTTTGGACTATGGAATCACTTTTAACGTAGGTAAATGAAATATGTATTCTTTACTTAATACAAGAAATATTTTAACATTTAAATCGGTTCTTATATTATACATAGGTAGACGTATACATTTTATTTGTTACAAAATAATTAATAATATACATTTTATATAGATATGTATTAACACATTTAATAAATATATTTTTCATTATTCCTTATAAAACTGATCAATTTACATATTATTCATATATATATAAATTAAAAATTAAAAAATACATTGTATATAGTTATGAGAATAATATGATAAATAAAATAGTACCTATAATTTTTTTATTCGCATTATTCACATTAGGGAGTGTCAAGGCAGGCTGTAGCCCGTTTGTGCCCATGAGCAGCCCATTTGCGCCCCGAGGGTTATGGAAATTTACGCCCAAAATAAAAAACTTAACACCCTAATTTATAGCCCAAATCCACCCATTTGTATGCAACGTTGCCTTTGTTGTTTGAAAATATAAAATCCTACGTAAAATCAAAATTAATAAAAAGTAATAATTTTAAAAATAATGTTAAATACTACACAGTATGCATATTATATAAATAAATATTATTTATATTGCATTAAATTATAAATTTCAAATAGAAATATTTTTACGTAAAATCAAAATAATTAATTTAAATATTATTAATAATGCATAAAATAAATTTATATAGAACCAAAATAAACCAAAATAAATAATACATATTAGTTGTCAGTTGTTGTTTTTAGATTGTTTAAAAATATAAAATCCTACGTCAAAAATAATCAAAATTAATAATATACATTGGTCAATAATAAGAATGTTAATAATACAAAAAAAAACAATAATACAATTATAAATCGATTTCCCGAAATGTATAAGAAATTTTTTTTAAGTATTCTATTTTATTTAAGTGTTTTTCTCTGTACTCATTCCAGGCTTCATAAGTAAATTCTATTATTTCTTTTTCCTCTTTACGTCGTGGTTTTATTTACCCTTCTTGATTTCATTTATTTTTAGATATGATTCTACTTGTATTAATTTTAAACTTTCAATCACACTAGTTAATGGAGGATGAGGTGAATAAAATTGGGAGTTAAAGTGCTTGTGAAATGATTCAGCGCAATTTGTAGTGCGAGGTGCGTCTGTTGGAGGTTCAGCCCAAATTGATGATGGAAATAGACATCCTTCAATGATATAGTTATTAAACACATAATCAGAAAATTCGGATGAATTTGTCAAATTGAAATCTGGAGTTAAGTTTTGTAAATCAAGTTAGTTTTGTCAATCAGCATTTTCCACTTCATTTGACGGTAAAAATGGTAACCCAAAAAATAATGTTAACCATTTAGCGATATCACATGACTGATTCTTATAAAATTTTTTAAGATCTGACAAAGAATTTATTTTTCGGTACCAATATTAACCTAAATTAAATCTACAGCCTTTTATTTTGATGTATGGAAATACATTTAGAAATGCTTTGTGTGTTACGATTTCAAAATCTTAATGGATTAATGATGGTGTGAATTTTTTTGTATTTTATTTGTACATAAATGGCAAATAAAGTTCCACATAGCTCGATAACATTCAAATGATTTTGATGGCAAAAATGCAATAACAAGTGGTATATAAAATCAATTTACATATATATGAATACCATACATTTGATAAAAATGTGATGGTCTAAAAGTAAAAGTACCATCACCAAAAATATTAGTATATAAGTTGAAATCGCATAAACAATTTAAATTCGTTTTGGATGTAATCAAAATAATATTTACACTATCAACATATGTAAACTCTTCGTTTTTATTTGTTAAAATTACTAAATTAGAAATCTGTTCAATTGTTTCATCTAGTGATTTAGGAACTATAG